TAAGTGGTATCCATAGAACCCCACACTCAGGTCACTCAATCTGTCTCACTGAGATATTTCAGAACAATCCCTAAGGACCAATAGCCAACTTTCTTTCACAATAAGTTATATGATCAAACACTATAAACAAACCCGTGATTAGTTCTTTCTGCCAACATGCTTGCAGAGTGCCACAAGTGAAAAACTTTCTATGACTAGTTTCTATTACAATCACCTGGAGAGGTCTTCACACTATGGATTCTTGGGCTCCACTCCAGAGGTACTGACACAGAATGTCTGGATGCGGAGCTCAAGATTCAGCATGTCCAAATCTTTCTTCAGGTGGTTCCAACATAATCTGTCCCCAGCCTGACATTTGGGACCCACTTTTATCTGATCGGGACTTCAGAAGCCTATGATGGAAATTCGTAATGTCTTGATATCGGGACTATTCCTAGGTGAGAGGAAGTGGAGGTACTACTGGCCTTGGGGCCCCAAGACAAGTCCAGCTATGAACACATCTAATCAACCACCTATATCCTGGGATAGGCCTCTGTTAACTTGACCCAATCAGCACATGAGTGCACACAACTAACCTACCTGTCATGGAGATGTTTTCCCCTTAAGTGAAAGGAAAAATAGTTGAAGGTTTTGGCTGAGACCCACTATGTGGAATAAAATGCCTCAGCCTCATTGCTGTATCACATGTGCCCAGAACAGTACCTGGCACTGAGCAGATGCTCAATAAAGTTTTTGAACAAATGACGAGACATAGATTGTATTAATTTTTTATTTTTGCATAATAAATTACCATAAACTTAGCAGCTTAAACACAACATACAATTATCATCTCACAGGTTTTGTGGGTTCAGGAATCCAGGCACAGCTTCTCTGGATCCTCTGCTCAGGGTCTCACAAGCCTGCAATTGAGGTGTTGGCCAAGCTGCATTCTCATCTAGAGGCTCCATTAAGGGAGAATCTAGTCCCAAATTCATTCAGATTGTTGGCAGAATTTATTTCCTTGCAGCTGTAACAGAGGGTCGATTCTCTTGCTGGTTGTCAGGAAGGAGCCACACTCAGCTATTAGAGGCTGTCAACAGTGTCTTTTCCATGACTCCTCTCCATAATCCCTCTCACAACATAGCAGCTTAGTTCACAAAACCAGCAAATGTGAATTTCTTCCTCCCATCTGCTAAGACAGAGTCTTTTATAAACAAACATAACCCTGAGAATGACATCCCATGACTTTTGCCCTATTCCATTGGCTACAAGCAAGTTGCACGTCCCACTCCCACTCAAGGGGAGGAGATTATACAGTGGTATAAATACCAGAAGGCAGAAATTGTTGGAGCTCACATAGCCATGCAGTCAAGGAGTCAAAGAACCAAGGGAAGATGGAAAGTAGTTTCTCCAGGCCAAAGAGAGGTGCTGTCAAGTGGCTGACAAGATACAGGATAAAGGTGTAGCCACATCTCCAAGGACCAAATGATGTTTCCCAAGGAGATGGAAATTGATGATCAGGTTGAAACTTTCATTCCTTCTGGGAGAGGAAGATGAGGCAAAGCTCCAATTATCCACGAGAGGAGGAAGCCATTGTTAGGGTCTGCCATTAGGTGAATGGCGGACTGCAAAAACAGGTGAATTTTCAATTCTCTCTCTCTCCCTCTCTCTCTCTGTTTCACTCTGTCTCTCTCTCTTTCTCCCCACCAGACAAAACACCCCCAAATTCAGTAACCCATAATAACTATACATTATTTCTCACTATTCTGTGGGTCAGCTGGGCTCAACTGGGAGGCCATTTGGCTCCACATAGTGTCAGCTGGGCTTGCTACTGCAACTCTAATTTAGGCTACGGAATTCAAGATGACATCACTCTCATGTCTAGTGCATCAGCTGGAACGGCTGGAACCCAGGCGCCTCTCTCTCCTTGTGGTCAGGCACCATCCAGGGCTTCTCCCCTACAACTTCCACAGTGAACTCTACAGCAGAACTTTAGTATTGAACTTTACTGTGCTCAATTTTTCTTGTTTAATTCACACAACAGTTCTGACAAGTATGTGTTATTATTTACAGATTTTCCAATTTCAAGCATTTTTGGCCCTGCATAAGTGGCCATTGGGCTTAAAGTATCCAACCCCTGGTGTGCTCCACCTGGCAGAGTATAGGGCCTCGTTACTCATAAGTAGTAGAGGTTTGATTCTAACCAATGTCCTTCACATGAGAACTGAGTTTCTATTCCCAGCTCCCCGTCACCAACATAAAGGAAACCTGGGTGATGAAATGTGATTTGCTTAGAGCAGAATCTCACCAATTGGAGAAAAAGAACATAAGGAGTATCCCATTCCCATGCAGCCTGCAGCAACGTCTCTACACCAGAGGACACCACTTACCGAGTCAATCTGCTGAAGGTGCACAGGGGTTGAGGAGATTTGAAAACTCTTCCACACAAATTCTTTTGTGACTATTATCTTTTTTCCCATCCGGTGTATTTTCCCTCCTATTTTTATTTTTCAACTCTCGTGATTCTAATTTTCTTTGGTTGCAACCTATCTCTCAAGGTACAGTGAATCAAGGTTCACTCCTGAATCTGGCTTCCAGTTACCACTCCCCAGCTGACTCAGCTCTCCCTCCTGTCCTGTGGCTCTCATTCCATCCTTCCTCGTGTCAAGCTCATTCAGAAATCACATTCACCTTCTGCTCCCTTATAGCCCTCTTTGGCTCCTTGCTGGGGATTCATATCTTTTAAAAATGATCAAGCTTGTTCCTTTTCCTGATCCTGATAGTCCCTCTATGGAGCCATTCTCTAGCTTTATTCCTCCTCTTGGTACAATATGTTTTAAACTAAAGATGGTTCCTGTCTTGGTAGGTAAGGACCTTGGGAAAGGGAAAGGAAATGGTTACGGGAAGGAAGGAAAATACTGTCAGCTGAAAGCAGAGGCAGCTGAAGTGAATCTAAGGGCTCCTGGGATGGGAGGAGGCAAACAGTGCATGACTCACTCTTCCTTAAAATCTACCAACCTCTGCACGTTTACCTCAAATGCTGATAGCATCACTGACTCAGAAATATATGAAGAGCCCCAGAGACTTACAAGGGGGATAATATCGACCTGGCGGGGTTGAGACGGTGAGATAATATCTGTGAAAGCAATAGCACAGGGCCTGGCACACCGTGGGTACTCAGCGTGGAAACTCTATTATTATTACTAAATATAAGACACTTTTCTGAGTGTTTTTCATGTGAGTGCCTTGAATACTGAAGAGAAAACAGAATAGGATGGTGCTTCAGGGAAATTATTTCCTGTGTCAGACATTTATGTTTAGTTTTGCCTGAAGCTTGCCTTCTCCCCGATCCCTGGTGGGTAAGTTGGGCTTGTGAAGAGGTTTGTTTATCTTAATTTATGGGAGTCGAATGCAATGGACAGGAGACAGACTGAGATGAAAATGAAACTCGGGAGACTTCATGTTAAGGCCACTTGGGCTTCTACACTGAAAATAGTGGAAGGGCAAACTGGTGAGAAGGATTGAGCTCATAGGGCACAATTTCTCTTTCCCTATTTCTCCACTAAGTCTGAGCTACTCCTGCATCTCATGAGTCAGCAGATGGGCAACAGTGTGAAAAACAGGAAGTCAGTTAGCCTGATCTCAAGTCTGTAGGACACATTGTGGGTGGCTGATAATAGGTACTGGGAGTGGGGTAGGTGGGGTTATTGAAGGAAAAATCTAGATCCCCATGGTTCCTGTTTCTAAACACTGGAAACTCTGGCTCAGTTTCTCAAGACCTGTGGGTAAGGTGGGTAGCAGGTTGTTGAACTTTCAGCAATGCTCCAATGCCTGGGGGGCATGGCCTGCAACTGACAGAATGGCTAGTGGCCCTGATTCCAGAAGAAAATACTGCACCCAACACTCACCCTTCCCACTCCCCACTCCGCCATGTCCTGTACCAGGAAGCTCCTAAGCAGCCTGGAGAAACAAAGCATAGCACGGCTGAAGGGGAAGGGTGAAATGGACATTGATTACACACAGTAGCATAAATGGGACAAGAGTCAAATCTGGAGATGGTGTTTATGTCAATTCTTCAATTTATAGGTAGTCAACCTAAACTCCTTTTCTCAGCCCTGGGTGAGAAATGGGATCTCATGTAGGGAAATGCTGGGTTCCAGTCAATGGAGATGATGCCTAGTGAATGTCTCAGTGAAGAAATATTTGAAGGCCAAACATATTTGGGAGGTGTCTCCTGTGGGTAGGGAGGACATTCTAGATAAGTCCATCAGAAAAGTCAGGATTCTTTCAGGCCCACAGGGCAATAAAGGCCATGAAGGTGAAACCAGCAGCTACACAGCCCCACTTGGCTAGAGGGGCCTCAGGACCAGCTAGATCTCGGGGCAGAATTTCTAGGAAGGTGACATAGAGGAAGGTGCCTGCTGCCACACCCTCTAATACAGCCTGGGCTAAGCCTCGCCCCCCTTCAGAGTCTCCTTGGGCCACAGCCAGCCCTACAGCAAGGCCCAGAGGGGACATGAGAGCTAATGACAGGATGGAGAACATGGCCCATCGTGATCCAGTGCCTGTCCACACCAGCCGCGGTCCTACGCCAAAGGCTATGAGCCCCTTGTGAGCCAGGACAGCAAGACAGAGCTCCACGGTAGCGGCTACAGTGGGCTGCAGCCCCACAGCCAGACCTTCAAACACCGAGTGGAAGGAGAGTGAGAGCAAGAGGACGAGGGCTCAAAGGGGACCCTGTGAGGGTGAGGGCAGAGGCCCATGGCTGTGGAGTCCAAGGACATGAGCCCCCCCATTCCTCCTCATGCACTGTTGATCCTTCAGCAGCCCCAGGACAGCACTGCAATGCCAGTGACTCCAAGAGGAAGACAAGGAAGAAGCCCAGGGAGATGACGAGCTCTCCATAGGGATACTCCATCTAGGAACAGAAAGAGGGGCTGTGAGTTGGGGGAGGAAGGGAAGAAGTGCACTGGATGGACATGGCATTGAGAGAGTGAAGAGAAGCGAAATGTGGTAATAGAACATAAAAACAGGAGGGGAATGAAGCCCAGAGTAGATGTGGACATGCAACAACAGGAAGGCCAGAGGGACTAGGGGCACAATATCAATAGGGTTAGAGATATGGGAAAATGATGTGAAGCAAGTCAAGGGTCCAGGGAAAGAATGGAAGAGTAGAGCAAGAGCTTTGTCTGGGATTCCCTAAACCCAAAAGGATTGGGTTGGCTTCTCCCTTCCCCTACAACATCTGAGCCGAGGAGCAGAAGGGATTCTTGGTATTCCCCACATACTCCCCTCAAAATGGTCTGGGTGTGGAAGGAGTCTCTGGTTCTCCTCACCCTCGAGGTTGGGGCTGGTGGGAGACACTTACCTGAGCTGAATCAGCATCATCAGAAGAATTTCTCTTACTTTCTGTCCTGTTCTAGGGAGAAAAAAGCAAAAATTAGATGGGGATGGAGCAGCTCAGCTTCCTGTCCTGTCTCTTCTGTGGCACCGCTTTCCTTGAAGCCCAATCTGACCTGTTTTCATCATTCCACACATCCCAAGAGCTGTCATCTTCCCTGTCGCTCCACCCGTGTCCCCGGCTCCATCACTTTTCCCCCTTTCTTCCCTTGGTTCTGTTCATCGTTCTGGACTCACAGCCCTGTAGCTCAGCATCTCTGCAGCTCACCTGCATCACAAACTGCTGGATCTCTGATTCAATTCCCTCCAGGGCTTCAGCGGTCATGTGCATGAACCCTGCTCCCAAGAAAACACCAGCAGAAGTGCAGCCCAGGAGACGAAGGACCCGGCAGTGATGACCTAACAAAAAGCAGGAGTTACAACCCAGTTTTCAATGAGGAGCTAGACAAAGGTGACTAAAGAGCAACAGGCAGCAACCAATATCCCAAGCTTGGGGATGGTGAGAGAATCAGAGCAAGGTATCAGGATAGGGTGATAGGGTTAAAGTCAGACTTAGGTTATGGGAACAAAGATGTGGTAGGGCTACACCAGTGGCTTCATCTATCTGGAACCACTTGAAGCAGATGGGAATACGGCCGCAGACCAGAGTGAGAGCCAGCAGGGCAAACAGGCAGCCAATTTTTACTCCTAGAAGTGGCCTCTTCCTTAGGGTACAGGACAAGCAGAGACCTCAGAATGACAAAGGGCGTCGTAATCTTTAGAGGAGTGGTGTCTTAGGTGGTCAAATCTAGAGTGTCAAATCTCCTGAATTTCAGGAGGCCTTTGGGATCTTCCTTCTGTTCTGTGTTGCCTCTGCTTGCACAGTCTTGTATAGCTGACTGGGGCCCTCCTCCAACTTCCCACGCGCCCCCTGCATGGAGGCCACTACCCTGGTTCACAACTTTCTGAACTTTGAAACTAGAAACTCCTTGGTCATACCCTCTGTGACTTTGATTTTACTTATCAAGCCAGCAGAACCATCTGGTAATGACCTGCACTACCTATTTTTCTTATGATGTATACCTTTTATCTTTCCCAGATTTGATAATTGATTACCCTCATCTGATCCACTAATTCAGGCCACACAGGAGGTCCCAAGCCATAGTCTTAGTGACAAAGGCAAGGTCATTCTTTTTCCTGTAATATCTCTGGTTATGATGGTGATGAAAGTGGGCTCTCACTGGGCATAACTAACTGCTGCAATAGAAAGATTTTCTTCTATAGGTTAAAATATAGCCCTCAGAGTTAGTTGGGGAAATATCCAATCCTCGTTTCTAAGACCTGTAGATACTGATATCCCTGGTTATCACTTGTGATAAATAGGCAGCATCTTCATTCATGCCTTCCTTCACAGATTTACAGTTCAATATTTGGCCTATGCTCTATAATTGTTGTCACAAGTAAGACATGTGGGGCAAAATTTTGGAAATGCAGGCACTTTGTTTTGTTCACTACAATACACATAGCACTTCACACAGTGCTTGTCACATCAAAGGCACTCAGAGATGTCAGTTAAATAAATATTAGTAACCTAAGAATGTCTCTCTGTTGTCCTCACATAAGAATAAAAAGTTAAGTAGATAAAGTATCCTTTGTTTCCTGGTGTCCAGAGGGTAGTTTTTAGTTTTTTAGTGGAATGCCCTGGACTACTGTTGTCTGTATTCCACTCCTGGTGGCCTGCTCTTCCTACTTAGGAACTTTCAGAATGCCTTCTCTTTTGTTATGTCTTAGACATTTTTCAAAAGGCAATGTTTTTGTGTGCTTCTGCTTATGGTGGGACTCTACCTATCTATTTGTAACACCAGCTCCCCACCTCTTGCCAAAGAATATTTCTTCTATCTTGGATTGTTGATTCTGTGTCTTGTGTTTTATGTTCATTTTTGGCCTCTCAGTATATTTTAGGTTGATTCTCTGGGAATCAAGTGAGATGCATTATCCTTTTTTCCCCCCGTAATTAAAGACAGTGTCATTATCAACTGAATTAGAAACTTGTTCTAATGTTTAGATATTTAGGTTCCTGGCATTTGACTGAGCTTTGTAAACTGTACTTTTTACAGTGTAGAAATGGGGAGTTATAAAAATATTAATATATGCCAAAATAGAGATTTTGTGCTCTTTCAGGTTAGTAGGTCCTGTTAATAAATTAAGGGACCACGTTAGATACTCAACAAGTAGGCGTTGTGCATTTCTACTTGTTGGACTTCTGTGTTGCTGGAATGCAATTAAACCTGAACCTGGTCTCAGGGTGATGGTTGTCCAAGAGCAGAGGAAGAGGCCAGGAAAATTCTCTGAGAATGACAAAGACTCACTAGATTGACAAAGTTGAGTAAGAATAGGGTGCCATACATCTCTCTTATGGCTTTCAAGATTTCAGCAGGCCATTTTGGCCAAGAACTACAAGAAGAAAGCATGTGTGTTTTATTTTGAGTAATAACTTAAGGTTAAATACAAATCCCTTAGGTTCAGCATTCTAAAGTGTAAGCAATACTAAGAGAAAATAGTTATGACACATACACACACACTTTATTAATGCAACATTTACATTTATTTCTGTCAATTAGCTAAGCAGGGAGCTAGCAAATGCATAGGGTAGGACACAAGGGACAGACACGCACCAACCTAACAGGAGCAATCAGTGTCTCGGTGCCAGACCACCGCTGATGCCCAGCTAATGCATCAGTGACCTCCACCTGCAAGATTTTCTTTTTGCACAAAGAAGTTGTAGTCCACTCAAAGACTGGGGGTAATGGTCTACAGAAATCCCAATTCATGTCTCCCCATTAGAAGTGCACGGAGTTGGTACTCAGTGCTCAAAGTTCAGGGAGGGTATGGCTGCCCAGACTTTTATGCTAAAACTCTTACCAGGGGTTGAGGGTTACTGCAGCCAGGAGCCTGAGCCTAGATCCTCATCAGTTCTTCCACAGACTTTCTCTGGAAAATAAACAACATGTTTATGCTACTCATTTTTCAGTTATAAACACATTTTCTATTTTAAAAATTTCTCTAAAAAATAACAAGTGTAGAGCATCATGGCAGAGTGAGCTCTTCCCTCTGTCTCTCCCCCTTAAGGTACAACTGAAAGGACGTTAATTAACCAGCAGATGACACCCACACAGCACAATAGGACATCTGAGAGATCCACACAGCCATACATCTGAAGTTGGGGGTCCTGGATCCCCAGGAAGCCACAGAAGGATGTGAGCAGATATCCTCCCCCTCCCTAATGGCAGCGATGTAGGGCTCAGGACCTCACACAGCGGCCAGCACGTGAGTCTAAGAGGAGATGGGGGAACAGGCAGGCCTCTGCAGGAAGGATTTCACTTTCAGAGTCGCATCCCAGCCCACAGAAATGCTCCACACTGAGGTGGCTTAGCAACCACCTGGGTGCCCACACCAAGCTCAGCAGCCCAGGCAGGTCACCAGTGAGTGCAGAGCTGGCTTGCACACTTGAAAGAAAATGCCCTTTTCTTCCCTTCCCACCTGGTGCACCAACTCGGCTAGTTGGCCAGGGCACTGGATCAGCACCAGAGCATCCACGCCTGTGTGTGGGACCCACCAAGCAGTGGTGACCACCAGGCAAAGGCAGACAAGCCCTATCGGCACAACTTCCAGTGGATGGGCACAACTTCCAGCAGTTGCGGCAGGTTCAGAAAACACAGCTCCTGCCCTCCACAGTGGTGGTAGGTGGAATCTCTGACCAGATACTACCACTGTGCACCGGCAAAGGTCCATTTCATCAAACACCATGAAGAAATACATTAACACTACAGATCAGAAGGAAAACAACAAGAGAGAAACCAATCATGAAGTCATAGAAATTTACAATCTAAATGACAGAGAATTCAAAATAGTTATCATAAAGAAACTCAAGGAGTTACAAGAAAACTCAGAAAGACAGTTCAATGAACTCAGGAATAAAATTAATGAGCAGAAGGATTTCTTCACAAAAGGGATTGAAACTTTAAAAAAAAAAACAAACAGAAATGCTGTAGATGAGGAAACAATGAATGAGATTTTAAAAAACAACCTATAAGCATTAACAAACAGAGCTGACATTATGGAGGACAGAATTAGTAATTTAGAGGATGGAAATATAGAAATGTTTCAGGCGGAGGAGGAGAGAGAGCTAAGAATAAAAAAAAAATGAAAAAATTCTCCACGAACTATCTGACTCAATTAGCAAATGCAACATAAGGATTATAGGTATTCCAGAGGGAGAAAGGAGCAGAGAGCTTGTTCAGAGAAATAATAGCTGAGAACATCCCAAACCTGGGAAAGGAACTGGAATCAAAGTAAATGAAGCCAATAAACTCCTAATTACATCAATGCAAAAAGACCTTCTCCAAGACTCATATTAGTAAAACTGGCAAAAGTCAATGACAAACCACAAACATCAAGGGCAAAAAGGCAGAAGAGAATAATCTACAAAGGAATGCCCATCAGGCTTTCAGCAGACTTCTAGGCACAAACATTACAGGCAGGAAAGAGTGGAATGATATATTCAAAATACTGAAAGACAAAAACTTTCAGCCAAGATTACTCTAGCCAGCAAAACTATCCTTCAGATACAATGGAGAAATACATTTTCTCAGATCAACAAAAGCTGAAGCAGTTCATCACCACAAGTCCCCTCCCACAAGAAACAATCAAGAATGCCTCACTCCTGAAACAAAAACGAAAAAGTTTACAAAGCCTTGGGCAAGGACATAAATAGACAGAAAAAAATCAGCAAATTGCAGCTCTATATCAGAATAGGTTAGCAAACATTAATTATAAAATTAAAGACATAGGGAAGGAAAGTATCAAAAATAACTATAAAGACTTCATTTTAATCACAAACCCACAACACAAAATGGCATAATTTGTGACAACAATAACTTAGACAGAGAAGAGGAAAGAGATGGCCCAGCTTAGGCTAATGGAGATAAGAGGGTATCAGAAAATGCACTAGCTCATCTATGATATCTTTTATACAAACATCATGGTAACCACTAAACAAAAAATCAGAAGAGAGACACAAATGATAAAGAAAGAAAAAACTGAGAAAACCATCATAGAAAATCACCAAACTGAAATGGCAGTTAGAAATATACAGGAAGAGAGGGATGAAGTCAAGATGGTGGCATAGGCAGACTCTGAACTCACCTCCTCCTGCGGACACAGCCAATTTACAACTACTCGTGGAAAAATTACCCCTGAGAGAGAAGTGAAAACTGGATAAGAGGAACTCCTGCAACAAAGGACAATCCTAATTGAGGTAGAAGAGGCAGAAACTCTCTTCTGGAGAGGAAAAATGCTGCCTTCACAAGCCGCAGCGCCTCATAGCCACCCAGGAGCAGCCCAAAGGTATGCAGCCCTCCCTGGAGGAGCAGGGCCCCGAGCCGGGGAGTGCCCCCACTGTGGGCATTTTGTGGACCCAGCACAATCGAGACAAGCGGCATAATATCTGACTTTGCCTGCTGCTAAAACATTGGGGAATACCCCCAGAAAAGCTGGTTCACAAAGAAATTAAAAATGGCTCTTAAAGGGCCCACGCACAAACTCACCAGTCTCAGAAAGCAACCTAAAATCACCAAAGAGAAAGGTGCACAGTGCTTTGGTGAAAATAGACTCACTTAATAGGCCCTGAGTGCATCTCGGTGAGAGGTGAGACCTCTCCAGGGACTGGGACATTGGCAGCGGCCATTGTTGTGGCCTGATTCGGGTGTGCTGACACAGACGCCATTGGAGTTCTCCCTGGGGCGTGCTAGCCCAGGGTCTGCCCCATCCACTAGAGCACTGATTTAATTCAGCTCAGCCAGGGCAGGCAGCCCACCCTAGAGACTGGCCCCACCCAACAACAAGCCCTCAGGCAACTTGTGGGCCGGCATAGATTAGTGACTGGATTCTCTGCAGCCTGGCAACTTAGCCACTTCATTGGGGCAGGGCATGCACAAGGAGCGGGTGGAGAGTGTGGCGGGGTGGTCGAGTGTGTGGGGCTCCAGCTGTGGAGAGACTGAGTCCGCCTTGGGGGGTCAGAGCGCACACACGGGGCAGGACTGTGTTGATTGCGTGTGTGGACCAGTGGGCGGCAGGGCTTGTCAGCTGCAGAAGACTTGTGCTTCTCAAAGACTCACATAGGGGGTTTGCCCCACCTTCCAAAGCCTGAAACAATTGGGTGCTCCCATGCCTGAGGCCAGTCCCACCCAGCTGCAATCCTCAGAGAGCTGACAAGAGACCTAAAGTCTGGATGCTTATAGCAATTGTAAGGTCCTGAGCCTAACAAGCTGCCACGCTGGGGGCCTACTCACTTAAAAGAAATACTGCAACACAAATGTGGTATTAGAACTTGCAGCCAACTGTGCTGGGGCTCCCCACACCTGATAAAGAGA